AACTGTTTGCAGTCTTACTGTTGGAATGTCTACTTTATAAGCTTTAATTTTGTAACTTGAACAATTATTTCTAAGTTGACAATATGTAATCCATTAACTAGTGATTTCCTACTGTTTATTTTTTTCTGTAAATCTGTATAACTTGTTCCCTTTCCTGCTTTTTTTTCTTTTTCTCCTTAAATAAAATTTTAAAGAAATGAAAATCACTATCTACACACATACGTTTACAAAGAGGAAGAAAGGTCACTGGCTTTTGTGGGTTTATAGTAGTGGAATATAAATTTTGCAAGCTCATCATAAACTCAAAATAATTTAAACCCGTTACAATTTAAGAAAAAAAATCAGGATCCAAGAACTTTAAATCTAGAGGTTTAAGTGAAAGTTCACTGATGTTTATGTGATGGTTGGATGTTCCTTGGGTTATGGTTTACATCTGGATGTTCCCCCAAAGCCTCATGTAGTCATGAGGTCAGGTCTCTCAAGCACAGCTGAATCTAGCATTTGTGATTGGCTCATGGTCTAGCTCTGAGTTTGGTGGTGTGAACGCTGCACTCACCAAAGGGCGAGTAGCTGGCATGCTTTCCCCTTTTGCTCTTTTACTCTTACGGCTTGCTTGTTGTGCCTTAGCCGTGCCACCCTGTCTTGGAGCCAGCTAATAATGGACTGAAACCTCCACAAACTGTGAGCTAAATAGACCTTTCTTTCCCTCATTTTGGATGTTGGGCATTTTGTCCCAACAACAAGAGAAAAGTAACCAAGACATTTTGCTTCTAATCAAAATATTCACCATGCTGGGATTCCAACCTCCATGTGCACAGTTTCAGGGGCAATCACTGTTTGATTAAGACTCACTATTGTCTTTCATTTTGTTACCTTGTTGTTGAGATAGTGTCTCACTACATTATCCGGCTTGGCCTTGAACTCACAATCATCCTGCCTCAGTCCCCCAAGTAGCTGGGGTTTCAGGTGTGTGCTATCATACCTGGTTTCCTGTTTTATTTTTTAAATTTTCTATTTTAATATCCTTAAAAATGATCAGCTGAGCTTTAATGAAGTGTTGGTACCAGACTGAGAAAACTTTCCTCAAAATCAGTAATTTTTGAACTAAATATTAGTTCTAGTTACATACAAGAAGAAGGCCATGGAATGATACACAGCTGTGAATCTTAGAGTGACAAAAGCATGAAAAGAAACAATGATTTCATATAATAAAGAAAACAAAACAAAAACCTCAAGAAAAAAATCACAGTGATTGGGCTACAAGATCCACATTGCAAAGATGTCCTTCAGTGGAAGGACTGGATATTCAAGCCTTGGAAACACTTTCCCTGCTACTTTATATTTAGTTACAGTGGGGGCGGGAATCAGCTTTACTATTTGCTATTCTTAAATGAGGTGAGCTAATATTATGAATTTATCCCTTAAATCAAATAGAATTATATGGATTAAATCTGGGATTATATACACCAAATTTTTAAATTGATGGAGGTATTTTGGAAGAGGAATATAAAACTATGAGTGCCTTGCATTTCCTTATTGTTTTTCAAAATTAATATTTAGTGCCTGTAAATAAATCAATGAAGCATTGCACAATCTGTTTTTGAGTGTAAACTGATGCCGGAGGCAGTGGACCGTGGAAGCCAGCAGCATCTACATCATCGGAACATTTCTTTCATGCCAATGTGTCATTGCCTGACACAGCACAGATGTACCCCGACATCCTTGCCGGAATGAATCGCATATCACCAGGAGTAGCTGGCTCCCGGGGAACACACAGAACTCTGCACACATCACTGAAGAGTAAGAGGAAAGAGACAGAGAATGGAAGGAAGCAACAACTGTCCCCAGCACCTTTGGGCTGTTCTGGTTACAGGAGCTCCGGTCTGGTAAAGTGAGCATCACTTTCTATGCTTATGTCCACAAGTTTAATAGTTTAAGAAATATCCTCTGAAGGATTTTTTTTGGTATAAATTCATTTGACTTGTGGATACATTCTTAAAGCCTACTCAATTTAAAAATAGCAACCTTGATTCTTTTATAGATATAAAATATAAATTAAAGGTTTTATTACAGGCGAGCATATTAAACATTGATCTGGCTGCAAAACAACTTGCAGGAACATTCCTGACTCCTTCTTATCCTAGTCATAACATTGAGCCTCTTACTGAGCCTGACTTATCACAAATACTTCTTTCTGCCCATGATGACTGGCTTAGCAATCGACCATGGAGGAAGGCCAGACCCAGGAAAACCTTCCCAAGCCTTTTCCTAAAATTACCCAAAAAGAGAAGTTCCCTTTTGCCTGGGAAGGTGCTTCACACCCAGAGATATCTCCGGGCCATCTCGCTTTATACGTGCAGTGAACAAACACTAAGTAAAAGAAAGAAGGGGCCCCAGGCACCCCCAAAGTCAGGAACCCTTAAACTTCCCATTTGCCAAGCACAATAAATCCTTTCCTAATGAAAGTCTTTTGAGTTGATTTTGAAAGGTAGAGGAATGGCCTGCAAATAAAGAATTCCTGAATAACAGAATCAATCCTATTCCACATAAACACAGTGGATAGAAATACTCATAATAATCAAAATTCTGGGGTGACAAATTGACCAATGGACAAATCCCTGCTCCTGTAGACCTCTTGGCTTCTAGTATTATAACAAGACTCATAATTTGAGCACTCATTATGCAACAGATAGTGTACCAGGCACTCTGTTTCACATTATCTGTAATTTCACTGTGACTTCTGTCCTGAGTATAAAGCCTTCACTTTATAGGTAGCACAGCAGAAATGAAGAAAGTCTTACAAATCCACCCAATACAACAACAAATGCTGGAGAGGCTGTGGGGAAAAAGGAACTCTCCTACACTGTTGGTGGGAGTGTAGACTGGTACAGCCTTTGTGGAGATCAGTCTGGAGATTTCTCAAAAAGCTGGGATTAGAAGTCCCATTTATTCCAGGTATTCCACTTCTAGGCATATTCCCAGAAGAACTGAAAGCATCATACCACAGTGATATATGTGCACCTATGTTTATAGCAGCACAATTTGTAATCGCCATATCTTGGAAACAACCCAAGTGTCCATCAACTGAGGAATGGATAAAAAAGTTGTGGTATTTCTATACAATGGAGTATTACTCAGCTATAAAGAAGGATCACATTGAGATATTTATCAATAAATGGGCGCAGCTTGAGACCATACTCATAAGTGCAATAAATCAGTCTCGCATGTGTGAATACCGAATAGTTTCCCTAATGTAAGTAATGATTCAAATATATAAAAATATGTGGTAATCATGATTCCCCATTATGTGGCCTTGAAGCCTTATAAAGTTTTCACTTATTAATTGGAAAGACTTTATTCTGGGCTTCTTGATATGGAAATATTTGAAGCTATAGTGTATGAAGTTTTATTCAAATATTTCAAGGAAAAAGACAGACGCTATGGTAACTACTATTAAGTCGGGTTATTTGGTGGTGAAGCACTAGGTTGCTGAAACAGTCATGCTTTGACCTGTATTGTTATATTGTTATGTCCTGTTTTATCTCAATCTCTCCCTTATTCATTAAAAATTATTTAGTTATTTTTATGGTTTTTTTAATTAAGGGGAAAAATTTAAAAAGTTAGCAGGATATATAATAGTAACTTTTTTTGATTTCCTATTAACTTGTTTTGAAGTCTTGTAATACTCCCACTATCTTGTTTTGACTGATTAGACTCTGTTCCATTCTGTATGATAGTATCAAGTTTGAGGGTATAGGCAACTACTTTGAAGGCAATAAGACTCACTAAGATGCCCATTCTGGTTTGACTATTGTCTCCTTTGGAAGTCCTGTAATGTTTACAATGCTTAAGTTTTTTTAGTCTTGTTCTCTACTGTTTTGTTCAACTTTATAATACCTAATGAGATAGATAATTCTTTTTAAGGAAACAAGAGACATTATGATAACCATTGTTGATAACCTTGTACTCTGTTTTTACATCATGTGCTATGTCTATCCTTGGTTTTGACTGACACCTTTGTTTTGCCATATTTGACTTTATTCTCTCCCCCCCCCAAAAAACTAATAAGAACTAAGGAGTAATAAAACCCAAAATGTGTAAATTTTGTTGTAAAAAAGAGAAGGAAAAAAGGGGTGTTAAATAGCTGACCATATTAATGTTTTTGGTTGGATCATTGAACACAACTGTTTGCAGTCTCACTGTTTGAATGTCCACTTTGTATGCTTTGATACTGTGACTTGAGCAACTATCTCTAAGATGATAATATGTAATCTATTAACATGATTTCTTACTGGTTTTTTTTTTTTTTTGTAGTTCTGTATTACTTGTACCCTTACACCGCTTTGTTTTGTTTTGTTTTTTCTCTTTTTCCTTTTAAATAAAATTTAAAAAAACCAAATCCACCCAATATTTCCATCTGTGGAGGCAGCTTACTGCCTCTCATCCACTGGAATACAAGGGTGACCTCCCCTCCGAAAGCCTGCTGGACCACTGCCTCCTCCAAGTCAACAGCGCTGACCCCGAGTAAGGCAGGTTTCTCAAGGGGTCCTGAGCTGCTGACCTGCAGCCTGGTCCTTTGTTTGGGATTCTCACATCTCCCTTCCCTTAACCTGATTAGCACAGTGTACAAAAATCTCTGCTGAACAGTTTTTAGAGTCTGTGATCATGGTTTATAAAGACGCATGCTTGTTGTCATGCCCAACTGTGCTCCTCAGTGAATTTATCTCATCTAATTCATACTCTTCCCACCTTGCTTCTGGCCCTGGAGGGTGTTCACCAGATCCTGTGACTTTCTCTCTCTGTAAACACAACCCTGTTCCCCTCTAGGTGGGCTTTGGGAAGCAGGTCATTAAAGTCTGACATAGAATAGGTGGAAGCATGATTGACTGCCTGCAGTAAAGTCAAAAGAGTTCAGGAAAGATGCCAACACGATCTTGCATTACATCACAGGGGTCCTTCGGTATTCTTAGTGTTCTCACGGCACTCTCGTCACCACTTACCCACAGGAGACAAAGCCTTCATACAAATTAATCCAGTGGATGTCACAGCTCAGCAGCTGGGGTCTCATTGGTCTCTGCCTTCTGTGTTGAAGATCAGAGGATGCATTCTCCAGACCACCATGGCAGCAGCTCCAGGCCAGCTGGAAAAGTCACCATGGTAGACTCTAATCATTTACCTAGTAAATATGTACCTATGTACCAGGTGCTGTGCTAAGCATAAACATTAAGATCAATTCTCCATGCCAAGCAGTACAAACAGATTTTTCTGGTGGTTGATGTCCACTGGCCATCAATCTTTTGGGGAGAAAAAAAGGATTGCCTCAAAGACACTAGAATTTGTCCTCAGTTTCTTTAGTTTCTATGAAGACCAACCCTTCCTGGGAAGCACCAAAGATGAGGCATCTGACTGACATGGTGGTTTTGCAGTTCTTCCATGTCTCTTGGAGGATGCCTGGAAAATGACTCAGGGACATCCCTGGGTGTTAAGGAGAAGCAGATTGCAGACGCCAGACCTATCAGCATCTCATCATCCAGAACAGCTGTCTGTTTCATACTTCATATTCTGTAATCACAAATAGGAACCATTTGTTAAATAAAAAAATTAGTGCATAAAGAATTTTAGAAGTTTAATTTGCAGTGGAAACAAATAAAGCATCTCTATTACCCAGAACTTGGCTGGTACCTCACAGAGAAGCACTTACTAAGTGCTTCTGTAATCAATTAGTGGATCAGCAAATGGAGTCAGGCCACATACATTCATTGTCAGAATGGCTCTTTTAGATAGATGCCATTATTCCCATTTTTCTCATCTCTAATTAATGTTCTCAAAGTTTCTATTAGTGGTTCACAATGAGAGACATTGCTTGTAGGAACACCCAGGTACAGATATGGATCACTTGAGCCCAAAACCTCTACACAGTCCTCTTGAGAGACTGTCTGAGGACCTTCAAAATCCCCAACCTGGAAAATAATGAGACTAACTTGCAAATTTTAGTGAGACATATTTATAAGCAAGTGATATATAAATAATTTACATATTTGTATTTTATAACATTAATACGTGCAGTATATTTTTAATATTGATGGTAAGGTTATGAATTAATGCTGGTTATAGTTTAGTTTACACACTGTAAGAATCAGAGATGTTGCTATCAGTGTATCTTTAGAGTTTTCTTGGATTAATCAGATATCAATTCTTAATGACAATGAAGTATTAACCAGCATGTCACATTTGTTGGATTATAGAAGAGGTTTAAAAGTCATCTGGGAAGCCTCATTAGAATTCCATCACTTCCCAGTTTCTGAAAGTCTTATCCATAGTAGAACTGCTAAGGCAGCAGAAAAACTGACATGACACCTAGAATTTGGAGACAGAGTTATTTACATCGATGGGCAACCATTTAGAATCATTCCCAAAATATCAAGCCCTGATCTGTGGTGGTTTAGAGCTTATGTGTGATAAGCAAGCAGGAAGTACAGAAGCAGAATGGCTTGTCAATTGGGGATTGGTTCTTACAATACACATCACAGTGACCGGTCATTTCTAAGAAACAAAACTAACAGGAACTGAAACTGGAACTATTACCTGGGCAACTAACAAACTGAAGTATACTGGCTGGGGGCAGGGCCGGCATTTTCTGCTACAGGACCATACCATCTGATAAAGTAAATGACTATTCAGTTTTTCTACAAAACCCATAGCATTCTTTGGTGTCTTTTCAAATGGTCTTGAAAAATGTTTGTCTGTGAACTTTAGTAACAAAAATTCAGCCCTCAAAGCTCTGGAAGTTGTCCGATAGGTGGAATATACAGCAATTATCTATGATCTCATCAAGAATCCTCAAGCCAGTTATCACCAATGCCTCTTTAAAAGAACACAGACTCCCTGTCTCTGTCTCTGTCTCTGTCTCATCTTTCTCATTCTCTCTTCCTCTCCTCCTCCTTCTTCTCCCTGGTGTGTCAATTTATATTTATTTAGTGCAACTTTCATTTCAATTTATTTGAAAGTGTTTATGTGTATTTCATCTCATATGCTCATAAAGAGAAAACGACAAGGCTTATCAGTAGAGTTTCCTCTGATTCTGATCTACAGAAGACTCCTTATGAAAATAACTCCCATTGACAATGAGCTCATAGTTTAAAAACCACAAAGTACCAAAAGGTACCAATTTTTAATTAAAAGAAAACCCCATTAGATTCAATAAGATGGGTAATTCATATCAAAATAAGTGATAATAAGATAATTGAGAAAGGTACTTTAAAATAAGTAAGTGTGTTTAAAATATCCAAATAAATAAATAAGAGAATGAGATTTTTAAAAATAAGATTTAGAAAACAAAATAGCAGGTAATTTTGAAAATAAAATTAAAATATCTAGGGTTGAAGATAATACAGTTGTACTCTTCCAATTCTACCAATTCTATATTGATGGAGACAACCAATAACAGATAAAAAAATAAAAATTAAAGGATCTGAGCTGAGTATACACAGACTTTTTTTTTATTCCCTAAGTAACACAAGATAACAGCTATTTTCCTGGCACTGATATTATGGTGGTACTAGAAGGAATCTAGAGGTGATTAAAGAATTGTAGGAGGATGTCCACAGGCTCTATGCAGATACTACACTGTTTTATAAAAGGGTCTTAGGCATCCTTGCAGCATGGGTGGGTCCAGTTATTCCAGTTACATCCCATAGGAAGTGATATGAACCAGAGGATAAAAACTATTATAAGAAAAAAATATAGAAACATTATGTCCTATAAAATAAATAAGAAATTTTTTGTTTCTATAAAATCACACAGGTCATGAACAGCTATTTTGAAGAAAATAAGACATCATAATAGCTAGTGCTGATTTAACATCATCTTGTTTTGAAGTCCCACCAAACTGTTGCTCTTCTGTCTCCATTGGTTTTATCATATTGTATCTTACTGGATTTTATTATATGTGATAGTATAAACAAAAATTTTTATAGGCAAAGAGGTAATATAGAAACCATTGTTCGTTTTCTGTTAGCTGGTTCTAAATACCCTGTAATACTTTCATCCTCTTGAATGATTTCACACTATCTTGATATGTTTGATTCTATAGTATACGAAGTTATATTCAAATATTTCAAGGAAAGGAAAGAGACACTATGGTAACTGCTATTAAGTTGTGTTATCTTGTGGTGAAGCACTAGGTTGCTGAAATTGTCATGCTTTGACCTGTATTGTTATGTTGTTATGTCCTCTTTTATCTCAATCTCCCCCTTTTTCATAAAAAGGTTTATTATTATTATTATTATTTTAATTAAGGGAAAAAATAAAAAATTAGCAGGATATATTACAGTAACTTTTTTGATTTCCTATTAACTTGATTTCAAGCCCTATATTACTCCTACTATCTTGTTTTGACTGATACTCTTTTCCATTCTGTTTGATAGTATCAAGTTTGAGGGTATAGGAAACTATTTTGAAGACAATAAGATTCACTATGATACCCATTCTGGTTTGACTATTATCTTCTTTTGAAGTTCTGTAATGTTTTCAACATTAAGGTTTCATTGCTCTTGTTCTGTACTGTTTTGTTCAATTTTATTATACGTAATGATATAGGCAATTCTTTTTAAGGAAGCAAGAGACATTATGGTAACCATTGTTGATAACCTTGTATTCTGTTTTACATCATGTGCTATGTCTATCCTTTGTTTTGATTGACTGCTTTGTTTTGTCATATTTGGTTTTATTCTCTTCCAAAAAAAAGTAATAAGAACTATGGCAGTAATAAAACTCAAAGTGTGTAAATTTTGTTGTAAAAAAGAGAAAAAAAAGTGCTCTAAAGGATACAACTGCAAGTGTGTTAGGTGTTAAGATAGATGACCATATTACTAAGTTTTTGTTGGATCATTGAACACAACTGTTTGCAGTCTCACTGTTTGAATGTCCACTTTGTATGCTTTAGTCCTGTAACTTGAACAACTTTTTCTAAGATGACAATATGTAATCTATTAACTAGCGATTTCTTACCTTTTTTTTTTTGTAATTCTGTATTACTTATGCCCTTATACTGTTTTTTTTTTCCTTTAAATAAAAAAATCACACTGGTCATTGTTTATCATGATAATTCACAGTCTGCAGAAAGACATGATGAGCAGGAAAAGGGCGTTTGGAACAGCCAGACACAAGCTTGATATCACAGCCTGGGCTGACTCTTAGAACAGCTGGGAAAGTCATTTTTTTTCTCAAAGCCCTCCCCCTTCCACTGAATTCCTTCCCAATAGGCCCTTAATTACCACTAGGCAGAGAAAACCTTCCTCCCAGTTCTAGATAAAACTGTTTTCCTTGTGTCTGCAGCCCAGCAGTCTTAAGACAGGAAGATAAGAAGCAACTGTCAGTAGGGATGGAAGAAAATCCGTTTGAGCAGATGGATGGGCTGATCCCATTCTTGGTGGGGGCGCCGAGAGACTATGGAATGTGCTTTGGCCTTGCTTATGACGGATGGAGCTCTAATTATCATTTGGGATTTACTTTGCATGGCTGGAAATATACCTCCAAGTACACACAACCTCCTGACCACTCATGCAGATGCAGACCTGAGGACAGGATTATAACAGACCCACTCCATACAAGGAAAGTAAATGTTAGGTATTGCAAACATTTACTAATAAATACAGTTTTTTAAAAACACGTTAAGGAAATGTTATTATCTTTGCAAGGCTTATTAAGTATCTGATTTGGAAACAAAGGATTTCAAATCATGCCCTGCTAAGAGGAGATTATCACTGGCTAACAAAGGACTTGATTTGGACACAGATTGTGATTAAACCTCCTCAGTGTCTGCCTCGCTGTGCTCTGTGATGGAGGGCCTGGCTTGGGGGAGCTGGTTGTGGGCACTGTGGGGGTTTGGGGGGAAGTAAAAGGTTTGCATCTTACAGAGATGGATGTGTCTGAAAGCAGTCACTTCAAGGTTCCTGTGACAGTGGACTGACACCAGAAAGAAGACCATCTGAGAGCCAGGGATATATATAGTGATCTTTTCTTCTGTGTGCTGGGCACCAAGCTGAGCTATGGCAAAGTGGGTGGTGGTAGTTCAGCTCCCCTTCTCCTGAAAAACTGGGTCCTATTCTTTCTCACCATTTGTGCCCTGTGGTGTTGGAC